CAGTATTCTTTTTCTTGGACAAAAGTCCTCAGCACACAAGAGACCGTTAGCAGATGTAAAGGTTACCTTCCTCTTTTCATAGTTCAGCAACTCTCTTCTTTTGGAAATACCCAGCCGATGATCTGAGAAGGCTCTACTGAACAAATGTTTTCTTTTCCTACAGGGTTACATTTTATATTTGTTCCTTGCTCTACTAGAAGGGTTGGAAACTTCCATGCTACATCTAGGATTACTAGCCTCTCTTAAAGAGAAATACAACTTGTTGAGGGTCTTGGATAAATTAAAAAAGAGTATACTATAACGTAGGTGAAATGGTTGCCTTGTGAGTATGCTTTGGCCAAGTCAATTTAGTTTTCTGTACCTATTCCTCAGTAAAACACAAGAAGTCATGAGTATCAGCTATCAGTATTCCTAATAGTAATACCTAAAGTCAACCTTCTCATCTGTAAAAAATGTATACTTTTGCCCTTAGGTGCTGTCAAGTTGGTTTGCCCATTCTTCAGAGAATTCTTTGAGAACTGAATGAGATGACTCAAGTAAAGTTTTAGTACTTGGTCCTAATCCTCATTAAATCTTGTTTATTATGATAAATTATTAATAAAGGGAAAGGAGTCTTTACAAAAGTGTTTTTCAAACTACAAGGCATAATACACTAGTGAGTCACAAAGTCCAGTTGGTAAGTTGCAATTGGCATTTTACAAAACAAAATAGAAGCTCTCGGGGAGCAAGGCAACACATTCTTTTAAAGCTATTCTTGTTTAAATTTCATAGCCCAGGTTTATTATCTCCTCCCCTCTCACTCTCAACCTTCCATTTGCTTGCCTTCTGAGCTGATCAGGATATTCTCACTCCGGTTTTATTTCATTTTACTTCCATGTAGGCTCTCTGGTTTAAAAAGTACAGCCTCAGGGGAGTCCTAACTTCTGCCAGAATCTGGTGACATGATTACTACCACAATCTCCATTGTAACACGGTCCCTTATGAAGATGAATGACCTGTTTTTCAGATGAGGCCCCCACTATGGATGCCATCTGGGCGAAAATGCTGCAACACGCTTCATTTGGATTTACACTGGAGAAATGCTGGGAAGTCACAGCTCCTGCCACAAATGCAGCAGGAGATTTCCCTCTGTGCTGACTTTTGGGTCCACAGAGGTTGCTATTTACATCCAAGATGTGGCCTTTGGTCCATAAACATCTATGTGTTGTGAGGCTTCACCAACTCCCTGTACTGTCAAGACCAACTAAGTCTGCCAGGTTTCATTAGCAAGGTCCTAGGACAGAGCAATTTCTAGGAACGAGCTCCATTTATGAATTGGCATGACATCCTTCAACTCAGCAGAGTACCAGCCTACTGACTTAGAGGGCATAGAGACAGTAAGTACATCTTGCCGGCCCCACTATGAGACATGACGTCCCTCACTGACCCATAGCCCT